ATAGTAGTTTTCCTACGAGTTTGAAAAGTCTTTGTTTGCGAACCGAGAGGTTTGCGGCCCGAGCCGAAGGCGAGGTCCGTAACGAGGTTCGTAAAGGAGACTTTTCGAACGAGTTCCGGAAAACTGCTTTTTCGCCCGAGGAAGTACCAGCCTCCCAAAACCACCCTAGGGTGGAAAAAGTACTTTTTTCGGAGTCCGATTTCGGCATCAAAAATTAAAAAATTTTACTTACTACAAACATTGCATGATAGAATAAGTTTAGACGAAGAGATTCAGCCTTGAATAATCACTCCAGCATTATTTCCTGACGTCTATTAAAGTTTTTACGAAAAGTGTTTTTTTTTCGAAAAAATGCGATATTTCGAAAAGTTTCCAATGTTTTTCGCTAAAAAAACAACTGAAGATTTGTGAACCAAAAACTTATAATTTGACGGAATACCAACTTTAAAATCTCAAAAGAAAAACAGTTATTAACAAATTAAAAAAAGACGATTTTCGATGGTTTTTTCGAGTTTTCTCAGCAACTACGCATTTAAATTATATGCAACGCGCGTCAATCGATAGGTTTTTTTAAGATCTACAACTTTGACATTTAACTATTTGGCATTGGAGGTCAACTTTTTTTTCAAACGCGAAAAAAGTGATTTTCGGACTTTCACGAATTTTTTAGGCTAACTCAGCCACTTAAGAACCGAAAAAACAAAACGATATGTTTCTTGAATCATTTTCTTCTATATCAACGTATTTTTTGTTTTCTGCTAACACTAATGTCATCTTTTTCGTAGATTAATTCGCCTAATAGAAACATCCAATCAGAGCTATTGCGGACGTTTCTATTTTGGAGATAAAAAGTTCGCTATGGTCCCATGTGCAGGAAAGACCGATGCGTTACCCATGTAGCCCCGCGAGTGCGAGTGAGAGGTTTGAAGTATCTCTTTCTCACTCGCACTTACTGGCGTAAGTGAGTTACGCACATAGAGGTATAAGAATAGAGGGGAAAAGCGCTACACTAGCCCATTAGTGGCAGCGACAGCATAATTAAGTGTAACGGGGCATCTGTCCTTGTTGCTAAAGCCACGTTATTGGCTACGTCTTCGTCCTGAATCCTACAGTTGATTCAATCTCATGTGGGACTTGACCAATAACATAACTGCCAGACAAAGATAGATGCCCCGTTACGTAGCGGTTTCTGGTGTCGCATATCACGCATCACGCCCCCTTTTCTCCTCTATTCTTATACCTCTATGGTTACGCATAGGTCGTTCCTGCACATTCGACCACAGCGAACTTTGTCTCTCCGAAATAGAATAACATAAGCTTTGTTCGGGAGCTCAAATCCGGTGACATAATGGTGACTTCCGGTGTCTTATTTTCGGCCATTGTCAATAATAAGAACCGGAAGTCACCATTATGTCACCAGATTTGAAGAGACGCTAGGTCGGTCCCATTCCTCAAGGAAGTTTTTGCGAATACACATGGAGTACACATAACTAAAGCTTTGCTCGAGAGCTCAAATCCGGTGACATAATAGTGACTTCCGGTGTCTTATTTTCGGCCATTGTCAATAATAAGAACCGGAAGTCACCATTATGTCACCAGATTTGAGCTCCCGAACAAAGCTATAACCAGCTGATCAACTGTGATTGTTTGTTTTTGTTGGTATGTTTTGGAGCTCAGTGTTAAATGTCTGATATGAAAATTAGTATCCTACAGAAGACCATACTAACTTTGGCAACCATTTATGTAAAAAAAACCATCTCCTTTAAAAAAATGAAAACTCGTCAAAACATACTGAAGCTGGTTTTAATATATAACTTTTGGTGTGGTCCCGTTCTCTTAGCAAAGTAATACCTTACATAACCTCAAAGCTTTCTGACAGTTGCATGCCAAAATGTAAAAACGTTCGCAACCCGCAACAGCTTGATCGTCCGCAATAGCTTGAACGTCCGCAGTAGCCCTGATTGGCTGTTTCTATTGCGGACAGTCTATTGCGGAGCTCTATTTTGTACCATGGGACTTAACACCGTGCCTTTTATCATACCCACTCTACGGGAGAGCCCGTTAGCAGGGTTGTTAATAAAAGTTGCTTTTTAGAATTAGAAGTTTTGAAAGTTTTAAAACTTTTAAAAGTTCTGTTTGTTTGCTACAATCTATATAGCTATAGCTATAAGGCATAGGGTCTATAGAGTATAGTGGTAATGCGTGTTGTGCTCTTCTACTGTAACAAGTGTACGAACCCTTATTCTTTTTTGTCAATCAGTTGATGCCAGGAATCTCAGAAGTGATAGAATAAGTTGGTGGGAAATTCAAATGGACTATATGGGGCATGACGCAGAAACCTAGATAACACTTTTATGCATAATAAATTAATAAAATAAACCCAAGCTATTCAACCCAATGACCCGGGGTGACTACTAGCAAATATCTCAAATAGTAAATTGTTAAATTTAATAACAAAAGCGCCTTTCACCCAATGAACTGGGGCGCTTACTGTTAAATGTATTGAATAATTAATTAATAAATTTATTAACAAAAGCGCCTTTCACCCAATGACCCAGGGCGCCTACTGGCAAATGAATTAAATAATTAATTGCTAAATTTAATAACAAAAGCGCCTTTCACCCAATGACCTGGGGAGCTTACTAACAAATGTGTTAAATAATAAATTTAAAAATTCAATAACGCAAGCGCTTGTCACCCAATGACCCGGGACGCTTACTGTCAAATATATTAAATAATAATTTGTGAAATTTAATAACACATGCTCCTATCACCCGATGACCCGGGGTGCTTACTGGAAAATCTATTAAATAATAAATTATTAATCAATTATACAATTTTATAAATTTTACAATTTATTAATTAACAAAGTGGCCAGTAAGCGCCTGAGGTCATCAGGTAATAAGCACTTGTGTTTTACAATTTATCATTTAATACATTTGCCAGAGAGCCCCCTGGGTCATTGGGTGAGACACGCTTTTGTTATTAAATTGAGCAATTAATATTATTACATTTGCCAGTAAGCGCTTCGGGTCATTGGGTAAAAGGTGCTTTTGTTAATAAATTGAGCAATTAATATTATAACATTTGCCTGTAAGCGCACCAGGTTTTTGGGTAAATGGTGCTTTTGTTATTAAATTTAGCAATTAATTATATAATGCATTTGCCAGTTAGCGCCCTGGGTCATTGGGTAAAAAGCGCTTTTGTTATTAAATTTAGCAATTAATTATTTAATACATTTGCCAGTAAGTGCCCTGGTTCATTGGGTGAAAGGCGCCATTTTATTAAATCTATTAATTAATTATTTACATTATTTGCCAGGAAGCGCCCTGGGTCATTGGGTGAAAGGCGCTTTTGTTATTAAATTTAGCAATTAATTATTAAATCCATTTGCCAGTAAGCGCCCCGGTCATTGGGTGAAAGGCGCTTTTGTTATTAAATTTAACAATTTATTATTTGAGATATTTGCTAGTAGTCACCCCGGGTCATTGGGTTGAATAGCTTGGGTTTATTTTATTAATTTATTATGCATAAAAGTGTTATCTGGGTTTTTGCGTCATGCTCCATATAGTCCATTTGAATTTTCCGCCAAATTATTCTATCACTTCTGAGATCCCTGGCATCAACTGATTGACAAAAAAGAATAAGGGTTCGTACACTTGTTACAGTAGGAGAGCACAACACGCATTACCTCTATACTCTATAGACCCTATGCCTTATAGCTATAGCTATATAGATTGTAGCAAACAAAGCAGAACTTTTAAAAGTTTTAAAACTTTCAAAACTTCTAATTCTAAAAAGCAACTTTTATTAACAACCCTGCCCGTTAGTGGTACGTACATATCCACTCAACGGTAGTGCCCATTAGTAGTATGTACATTTGCATGCATGTATCACAGACGTGTATTAACATAATTTTAAATTTAATTATCAATCAATAATTTAAATGATTATTAGTTGATCATTGGTCCTTAATGATTACATTAAAGTAAGGCTGACAACCTTGTATGACGTAAGCATGTCTATTGATGGAGTACAGGGATCACTAAAAGAAGCATTGCTTGAATCACTTCACAGAATTCTTGTAACTGATCGAGAAAGTCGACAGGCAGCTGAACAGCGTTTGGCTGCTTTAGAAGTGACAGAAGAATTTGGGATTCATCTTACAGAATTTGTAGTAGATCCTAATGGTCTCCTTGCTATAAGACAATTATCATCAGTGTTATTAAAACAGTATGTAGAAAGTCATTGGACACCTTTGGCAGAAAAATTTCGCCCTCCTGAACTAAAATTACATGTCAAAGAAAAAATTAAAATTATACTGCCTGTTGGCTTGCGAGATCCGATAAGTAAAGTTAGTGTATCACAAAATGCATTCGTATCAAATTATTGTAACTATTATACGTATTGCTATTAGTACAATAAACTTAATTCTTAATTACCATAGGTTAGGACTGCAGTTGCCTATGCAATATCCAGAATAGCTCATTGGGAGTGGCCAGAAAATTGGCCTGGACTATTTAATATACTTGTAAGTTGTTTAAGTGGAGAAAACCAATATGCTGTTCATGGAGCTATGCGAGTTTTGACTGAGTTTGCAAGAGACTTGACTGATACACACTTACCTAATGTTGGCCCAATCATCTTGCAAGAAATGTACAAGATTATGCAAAATGATGAAGTGAGTGTTTGGTTATGGGACAACTTTTTTCTTTAACCTAGTATTAATTCAAGGAAAACATGAATTTCACATTTTATCATAATTTTATTAACTTTATGTGGCATTGACCAAGTAAACTGTACATGAGTCACTGTACCTTACATACGGTACAATTCTTCTGGGGCATGGTGGACAATTAAAATTTAAATAACCCTATGGGATAGTTATTAAAGACATTAACTTATTATTAAAAACCATACAGATATGTATTGGATGCATTGTTTTTGAGATACCATGACTAAAGTTAAAAACAAATCTTGCAATTTTAATTGTTATCAAAATATTTGGAACAAATCTGTGCCATTAAAAAAATTTTGTTTATCTTCTATAACTCTTGGTAAAATTATTATTTCACAGAAATAGATTTATTTTACTGCTCTGGGCTGCTCTGGGAAAATTCTTATTGATGTTTGTAGATATACATTTTAACAGGTAGCAGAAATACAGAGCAGACCAGAGTTGCTCCAATGAAGACAAGGAACAAATTTATACTACCACTTTGATAGTGGTTGTAACTCAATTGTGGTTAAAAGCCAATCTGGGATACTAAAGCACTAATGGGCCAAAAGTTCGAACTCTGGTCATGTTGACTTTTCAAAGGATAAGCAGCGAGATTTATTCTTGAGTGTCATAGTCAGAAATAAGTAGGGTTATCGCTTATTTCAATCCTGTTGGTGATGTTATGAGCCAAGCGTTCCTTTAATTAAGTACTTGTTCAAGCGCTATTGGTTAGGTTTTCGTTTCAAGACGAAAAAAAGGAGCTGCGTTTAGACGAATAGAAAATCCCCTGAAATAAAAAGTTAATGCTCGAAGGGTCGTTTTTGATATTATACGTAATTCAATGCGTAGATTACGATAAAAACACTTAAAACATTGAAAACTCTCTGGGGAGCCGTAAAAACAGCGTTTAAAACTTATTTTGCTAATATCTCGTAAACGGTAGAAGATCGAACGAAAATAAAAAAACCAGCGTGTAGAGCGGAGAATTTCCTACCGATTTGGTATTTTACTTTTGTTCGGTCTCGCTGAAAATTTCGAGGTAAAAATTATTGAAGGTATTTTTTCCTCAATGTTATAGGAGAAAGTGAGACAGGAGATAAACTGTGTGTCGAAGCCGATCAGCCGGAGAGTTGTGGAAAAGGGGGAGAGGATCAGAGCTATATATGTATGCTTGAGGCGTTTTTAGATCGACTGACGGCCGAAATTTGATTTTTGGCTTGTCAGGCAGAAAATTTCCAAGTCCTACGATTGCATTCATAACGGAAAAAAAATTGTTCCCCCCAATTTTTTTTTTTACGTTTTCAAAAATTCTGTATCAAATGAACATAATCAATTTTTTTTTTTTTTAAATTATATTTGCTTATCATTATGAATTAATTATTTAAAAAATTACCCTGAAATTGTTGCGTGCACGTGTACTACAGCTTACAAAACTGTAATAAAAGAAATAGTATGTAAAACTGTTTTATTTATTAACAAATTAATTTGTATCAAAAATATATGTAACATAAATACACTATATTAATTGGAGTCAATCACTTTCAAAATTATAGACGCTATCATCTACTGTATGAGGAATGTTATTATCGTGAGGGGAATCGGTATCGTAATCTTGATAATTGCCAACTGCCTCAATCGTATCATCAAACAAGTCGTATTCATGGATTTGTTGCCTAATAGTAAAGGCATTCTCACAACTATCTCCGTTACACATTTTGCTTACTCGTGTACAGAGCAAACCTGCTTTTTTACACGTCCATTGTTTCGACCGACAATTTAAACGACAAGCGCAGGAAATCTGTTAAGGAAAAAAAGTATATTGTTTATCTGGACACATATAATGAATAAAGAAATAATATACCATTGCAATGCTTAATTACCATTGTAATGACCATGCAAACGCCTGCTCCCGATGAACTCTTGCGTCAGGTAAGCATTGCAATGGTATATTATTTCTCTATTCATTATATGTGTCTAGATAAACAATATACTTTTTTTCCTTAACAGATTTCCTGCGCTTGTCGTTTAAATTTTCGGTCGAAACAATGCACGTGTGAAAAAGCAGGTTTGCTCTGTACACGAGTATGCAAAATGTGTAATGGAGATAGTTGTGAGAATGCCTTTACTATTAGGCAACAAATCCATGAATACGACTAGTTTTATGATACGATTAAGGCAGTTGGCAATAATCAAGATTACGATACCGATTCTTCTCACGATAATAACATTCCTCATACAGTAGATGATAGCGTCTATAATTTTGAAAGTGATTGACTCCAATTAATATAGTGTATTTATGTTACATATATTTTTGATACAAATTAATTAGTTAATAAATAAAACAGTTTTACATACTATTTCTTTTATTAAGGCATTGTAAGATGTAGTACACTTGCACGCAACAATTTCAGGGTAATTTTTTAAATAATTAATTCATAATGATAAGCAAATATAATTAAAAAAAAAAAAAAAAAAAAAAAAAAAAAAAAAAAAAAA